CACATCGAGCTTTACATAACCAGTATAAACTGAACGTTAAATGTGCGGAAAGATGATGCGACGCGACACCAGGATAAACTGGTTTTGTATAGATTGATGTGTCCGTGCCCAGATTGGCGATATATTAAAGAAGGGCCAAATTAAAAGTACCCTTAACCGACGAGCATGCATGAAAAGATTGATGACTGTTAACTCTTTGAGTACCATCATTATAGACACAATTAAAGAACAATAGGTTGCGGTCACCGGTGTACTCGCGGTGTTTGACAGTTTAATGAAGCGAAAGAGGTGTGTAAGAATCGTAGTAATTGGCGTTCCTTAGTCTCTGCCTACCCCCATGGGAGACAGGCGTGAAGTTATGTATGTATATATGTATGATGTGTCCGTGTGTACATGACGTCACGCTTTGATCCCCGAAGTTTCTTTTTGATCGGCCGACGTTTGACCACTATCTCGCCTGGTGGTAAACGATGATGCGGTCTACGATGGAGCACGTCGTCCCATAAGCAACCCATTCACTCGGGCCTTGAAGACACCCTGGTTATAATATACCCTTCAGGAAATACAGACTCTGGCAAAGAATTCCACTCCTTATCAGTACGCACAAGGAAGCTTGTTGCGAAGCGCTTCGTGCGTGTGGGCGGGACATGTACCATAAATCGGTGACGCTTCGCCGATTGTCTTGTGGTACGATGATGGAAAGGACTAGGGGGAATTAAATTGTGCATTTCCCCCGCACACTCACTGAAATGTATCCGGTAGAAAACCGAAAGGCTTGCAATCTTACGCCTGTATTCGAGGCTTTGAAGTCGGGCCTCCACAAGCATAGACAAAGGTTTGACTTATTCATAACGGCACTAGCGACACGGTTTGTGCGGTGGCTGGCAGATGTACTTTTTGGGGATTTTTATTTTAAAACACCATCAGCATCATAAACAGTCCCTGGCGAACCTCTACTGGACTATATGAGCTTCCTTTATGAGGGTACACTAAAGAAAAGAAAGAAAGAAGAACCCACCAAATATACAAAATTTAAATACAAACTAGCTTCTGCCAGCGGCTTCGCCCGCGATCCCAGGGGTAAAATGCCTATGTATCACTTCAGATCATAATCTACCTCTGTTCCGAATTTCATTCCGGTCCCTTCAGTCGTTTTAATATGACTGAGTAACAAACATACACACAAACTCACATATTTTCATTTATAATATCGAGTCAAGCTAATTTCAACCATTGGCGTTTCGGTTACAGCGTAAAGTCTATGAATGAGTATTGTAAACGTTAGAGTAGACAAATACAATCAGAAATCACCGAATTGCTAAGCTATCGGGAGTTTCACGTGTTATTGTGAGTCAACCATAAAAGATAGACATATGCTGTCGAGGAATATTTTTTATATAATTTTAAGGAGAATATTTCCGTCATACATGATTTCTATGTAGCTTTAACCTATAAGCCTGCACACGCGACGGAAGCTTAAAAAATGGAGTAACTTCTCCCGTTTTCCCAATATTTCCCTTCACTGCTCTGCTCCTATTGATCGTAGCGTAATGAAAAGTATACTATAATATACCTGCCCAAGAGTATGAAGAATAATTGTGCCAAATTTCGTTAAAATCCGTCGAGTAGTTTTTGTTTCCATAACGAACATACAGACAGACAGACAGACAAAAATTTTACTGATTGCATTTTTGGCATCAGTGGCGATCCCTAACCACCCCTTGATAGTTATTTTTTAAATATATTTTATGTACAGAATTGACCTCTCTACAGATTTATTATAAGTATAGATTAAAAAAAACAATAATTGCATAAAACAACATTAAAAAAACAGCAACGAAAAACAACAAAAGCAAATAACAAAATAAATAAATAAAATAAACGAGCAACAGGGTGGCAACATGGCCATGACAAAAGGGCTCGCCAACTCAGTGTAAGCTGGGCACAGTAAGTACCCAACACTGGTTTTCAGTTGGCACCCCTGCAGTGACGCACGGACGGAAGCAACGAAAAATAATTAAAAGTAAAATAACACAATTACCCAAAACACATCACATACTACGCAATAAGTAATCTTAATCTCCATGTTTGACAGATAGGGTTTCGATATCCCAGTGTAAAAGGTTCAGGTTTATCAGAGAGCGCTGCTGCCCGGTCTCTGTCAAATGTGTAGATCCCTTAGTTGGTTTTTACGGTACCCGCGGGCCCCGCAAAAAAATACCTCTACATGCAATACCTAACAATAAAATTACTCTGCAAGGCTTGTACTTCTGTTCTAACTCATTTTGTGATGGGATGAGTGTTACGACTGTTACGTCAAAACTTTGGCTGCCAACAGTGACTGTCAGCGAATTATGTCTTCCGGAGATAAATAAACAAGACACGGACGTCTCGTCATCGATACTCGGGTTGAGCAAACGTTTATTGCGTTTTCAACATCATGCTCGTCGTTACTATGTCTGCCTCATTTGACTGCACGGTTGGCGCGGTGGCTGGGCAACTGGCTGATGCACAATGTGTCGCGGGTTCGATTCCCGCACGTAACAATTCTTTGTGTGATCCACAGATTGTTGTTCCGGGTCTGGGTGTCATGTGTATGTGATATTGTATGTTTTTAAACGCACCCACGACACAGGAAAAAATCCTAGTATGGGGCAACGTTTTTAAAAATTTTAAAAAATATCACCGATCAATTTCCAGGTTTGGCAAAGATTGTTAGGGTTTTTTCGGTATTCCGAAATTCTTGTATTAGTTAGTTATTATAAAGCTGAAGAGTTTTTTGAACGCGCTAAAAAGCCGGTAAGCGAATAGACGGATCACCTGATGGTAAGCTATCGGCGTCAATCATGGACACCTGGAACATCAGAGGCATTACAAGTGTGTTACCAGCCTTTTGGATATTAGGAGTTTGAGAATCGTTGGGGATTCAGGGATTGGGGAGATTGAGGAAGGGGAGGGTAATTGGGCTTCCGGTACCTCACTCACACGACGGAACACGACGCAAGTGTTTTTTCACTATGGTTATCTGCTCGGCTCTGGTATCACTCCGGTCGAGCCGGCCGGGAACTACTGGTCCAAGTTAAATAATAGTGTAGCTTAATTTTTATTTTAATGTCCGTCTGGTAGATTATTTCAAATTATTACACACGTATTTTTTATTTTCTTACAGAAACGAATATTTTCGACGATATATTGATTTGAAATACCGTGTGACGTCACTTCTATGTACGTTTTATACGTAGAAATGACGTTTTAGCCCCCACTCCCAAAGTTTGATTCGTTTTATCTAAGTAACCTTATATGACAAAATAAAATGCGTGTCTAATATTTTTCTTTATCTAACTTACGGACTAATTAGATTTTAGATTTTCGTACCATGGCAAGCAACTACTCTATTAAGTGTACCTACCTAGTTCATTAATTCATTATAATGCTAATACTTGCGCACTGACGTGTTTTCTCATAGTAAACGATATTATTAAGTACTTTTTAGTTGACATACATACACAATCAGATTACGTAGTTTTTTTATGAGCTGTGTGGTGACGACAGAATAGATTTATCACCATTTTATCACCTTTGTTCTTGCCGTGGGTCGCGTCGCTAGACACCGAAATTGTCGTGGAGAACTTAACGGTCGCGGAGAACCTAACGGGTTGCTGGGGCTCCGGCTCGACGTGCAGGAGAAGGAACGGGGTGGTTTTTAGTCAGTAAGAGTCTGACACTCCCTCCTGCCTCACCCAGGCGGGAGAAGTCATTCAAAGATTTCCTCCCCTTAAAAAAAAGGACACCGAAATTGCTCACCTCGATCGATCTATGTTTTCGACAAAAAGTCAACCATTTATTTAAATTTTTCCCTTATTAGGCACTTTTGAAACGTAAAATTGATTTTATATGTTTATGTTTTATACGTGACTAGCTACTTCCGCGCGGTTTCACACGCTCTGCTCAGCTCCTATTGGTAGTATCGTGATGTTTTCTAGCCTATAGCCATCCTCGATAAATGCGCTATCCAACACAAAAAGATTTATTCAAATCAGACTTGTAGTTACGGAGATTAGCGCGTTCAAACAAACAAACAAAAAATAAACTCTTCCGCTTTATATAATAGTATAAGATATAAGATAATTATTATGATATTATGTTTATGAATGGTGCTCATTTATATGAGCCCCTAGCCCCTAGTTTTTTTTGAGGTGTGAAAATCATCGAATGACTTCTTCCGCCTGGACGAGGCGAGAGGAAATGTCATACTCTTACTGATTTAAACCACCCCGTTCCTACTCTTGCACTTCGAGCCGGAGCCCCGGTAACCCGTTAAGTTCTCCGCAGCTTCGTATCCGCATCAGCCCTATTGGGCCCCATCTGTGGTGGTCTGACGGCTCTTTGATGCCCGCGCGGAACGTGACGCGCCGCACGCTCGGGTCTGGTTCTGGTCGGGCGGCGAGCTAGCCCGTGCTTACGGTGGCCGGAGATCGTCTCGCGATCCCCGACGCCCGGAGTGTCCTTCACAAAAGTCCACAGCGCTGATTTTCAGCACCAGCCAGTTACGTAATGGGGCTTACCGCACCTCCACCCACCAGACGTACTGACATATCCTAATCCCAGCTTTAATGTCACTTTACCGTACCAACAACATCTAACCCAAAACAGCCTAAATCTTTAAACATATAACATCACGCCTTTTATTCCCGAAGGGGTAGGCAGAGGTACACATTACGGCACTTAATGTACAATGTAACATCTACTTTTCACTATTTATGTTATGACTCGCATGTAATAAGGGGTGAGCCTATTACCATGTACCGGGCACAATTCTAGACACCGTGCTACCACTGAGAATTTTTTTAAAACCATGTAGTACTTGGCCCGACCCGGGAATGGAACCCGAGACCCCTTGCCCGGCAGTCGCACTTGCGACCACTCGGCCAACGAGGCAGTCTTCAATCTTTAAACGTGCCTAGTTAAAAACAACTCTATTTCTTTGTCCACAGATCACAATGTCTCGAGACAGGACGTCGAAGCGGTTTTACCGCGCAGAATCTACACACGACCTGTTGTCCTATATGGATAAGGGACAAGCAGCCAGCAATGAGAACCGGTGGACTTTTGAAACAGCTTGGGAGGTTGCTAACAAAGGTATGGCAATTAGTAATGAGAATAATTATATTTTACTAGCTACTTCTGCGCGGTTTCACACGCTCTGCTCAGCTCCTATTGATCGTAGCGTGATGTTTTATAGCCTATAGCCATCCTCGATAGATGCGCTATCCAACACAAAAAGAATTATTCAAATCAGACTTGTAGTTACGGAGACAAGCGCGTTCAAACAAACAAACAAAAAAACAAACTATTCCGCTTCCGCAAAAATGCCTGTTATCTAGGTAGATCTCAGACCCAAATCTAGTCTACGTTTTAGCTTTTATCTAGGTCTTAGGCAGTAACTAGATATCCTATTGTTCATGTTTACCTAGTGTTTAAGTCCTTGGAAGTACTAGAATTTCTGGTTTCCTTACAATTACTAAGATGTCTGAATAGGATATGCCTAGGTACTTGCCTTTGTTTTATGGTAGCAAAAATGTTATTAGACTGGAGGCTAGACTTATGTCCAGTGTATGTTAATAGGTCTGCTCCTATTATCCAGGCTACACACCTTACGATTAACCTGTTGAAATATCGCTATATACCCTAAATTTGTCCATACAAAAGTAGTCTCTAAACGTCGGGAATAAGGTCTATAATGTTAACTACATAGAAGAGAGCGGTCATCGGTGACTGCTGGGGGATTGTAGGGTATTGAGAAGTTTAACTGCATAGCGAAATTGGGATGATGACAGGATATGAAAATTAAAAATCTTAGTCCGTAAGTTAGGTAATTAAAAAATATTAGACACGTATTTTTTTATTTTGTCGTTTAATAAAACAATACTTAGATAAAACGTATCAAACTTTAGGAGTGGGGTCTAAAACGTCATTTCTTAGTATAAAATGTACATAAAAGTGACGTCACGCGACATTTCAAATCAAATGGCATCAATACCGGCTTATCCCATAAAAAAAAACTATACAGTTCGACTGTACAGTTGACCTGCACAGTTAAATCGTAAGGTGTAGCGTGCATAACAATGGTTACCGTTTTACCTGTACCTAATATTTATTTATTTAATGCATTAAACAACTGCCATTACAGAAATCTTATACATTATACTTCTTATATAAAAGCGAAAGAGTTTGTTTGTTTGAAAGCGCTAATCTCCGTAACTACAAGTCTGATTTGAATAATTCGTTTTGTGTTGGATAGCGCATTTATCGAGGATGGCTATAGGCTATGAAACATCACGCTACGACTAATAGGAGCTGAGCAGAGCATGTAAATCCGCGCGGAAGTAGCTAGTCTATATAATAAGTTGCTTATGGGACGACGTGCTCCATCGCATCGTCGCGCACCACCAGGCGAGATAGTGGTCAAACGTCGACCCATCTAATAAAAAAAAAGAATTATCCGTTCGTTAAAATCGCTTCTCACTACAACTCGAGATTGGTGGAACCGATTTAGCTAAACGATTAATCGGTAATAATAATAATAATTATTATTATGTATGTCTTTACCATTCACGGGACCACAGGGTCCCGGTCATTTGGGAGGCATACGAGGGGCCGAAGCCAACTGCGCAGAGGCCCTTTAGACAACTTTAATATAAATGTAATGGACACACAAACCGGCGACTATCCCTGTATGCACTATGGAAATGCACCCAAGGACAGTCCCCGGTTAGTGTAGGACTATTGTGAATAATGGAAAAAAAGAACGTGGGGCTATGGATGGGTTGCTGTGGACTGGTAAATTGGGAACTATGGATGACTATGGCACCTGCCGAAACAATGTAATTTTTACACGTAAAAATGGCAGGCGGAGACTCGCCAACTCACCGACCGGGCCCCGGGAATGGTTGCTAGATATAGCAACAGAGGGGCAACGAGAATGTGAGTGGCTGAAGGGTTAAGAAACTACCACCGCTTTCTACTCAGATCATCTGCTCCAGCCGAAGCCTCCTGCATCCCTGGCCCACTCGCGACTTACGAATAGTTTCTTACCCTCCGAGCAGGATTACTGCTCTCGCGACTCCACTCTGGACGGCCAATGAAGGCAAGCCAGAGGTGGGAGACCTGTTCCTTGTCATCTTTCACTCCAGCCAGCCAATTAAGGCAAGCCGGAGAAGAAGGAACGGTGACTTCTCCCTGGAGCACTCGGGATGATGGTAGCCCGCGGGATCGCTAATGCCCGTCACCTCGCCTCAAGGTGCCCTGCGGGCATAATTATTATTATTATTACCGATTAATCGCATATTATGTTCGTGGAAGTCCAGGGGAGGTTTAAAAGGCGTGTCATTAAGTCGAGTAAAAAAATTGAGGTGGTACGAAGTTAACCAAGTCAGCTAGTCAATTTATTTATTTATTTGTTTGTTTCAGTGGGCGGTATCTACACTGTAATCAGGTCGAAAGCCTACGTGTCTACGGAGGAAATGGGAGAGAATTACTGTCTACTGGGTAAGATATGCAATACGTAACAAGTAGCTGTAGGCAAATGCCATTTAGCGCTTGTCTACATGTAGAATAGAAAACCAAATTATCTGGGATTGACGTAAATTTTGACACTTGTCAGTGTCATCCCCATACATTTAGTTTTCTACTCTCTCTGTAGACAAGCGCTAGAGTGGCGTTTGGCTAAAGGCAAAGGAATCATAACCGACCACCTCGTTCGCCTAGTGGTCGTAAAGCAAGGGGTCTCGGGTTCAATTCCCGGGTGGGGCAAGGTATTACTGGGTTTTTAAAAATTCCCAGTAGTAGCACGGAGTCTGGAGTCGTGCCCGGTATATGGCAGGCTCACCCTCTATTACATGGGACTCATAACATAAATACTGAAAAGTGGGTGTTACATTGTGCAGTGGCATTAAGTGCCGTAATGTGCACCTCTGCCTAAGAAAGGCGTGACGATGAATAGTAACTAAAAAGATTTGTATGTACCATTCGGGTTCAATCCCCGTCGGCCCGAGTCAGGTAGAATATCAAGATATATTCCGGTTCTTACGAAACTCAATAATATCATATCTTTTTAAAATAATGAATTAATTAATGAACTGGACTGATATTTATTAGATAACCTATATGCAATATAATTGGGTACTTGCCTTAATCAAAAATAATTTATTTCGACTGTTCAATACAATAAAATATTAAAAAAATAATTGATTTTATGACCAACTTAATTTTAGTATTTTGTCAGCAAATTTTTAAGAAATAAATATGCTGTGTGACGCTAAAAAACCGTGACGTCACAATACACAATGTCGTACATTTATAGAAAACTGTCGTTTTTGACAGTTCGAAAAAAGTATTGAATTTAACTAGTTGGCAAGTACACAATTATTGAAAATATGTTTCATCAAATAAGCGTCTCGGCGGAGGTCGCTCAAGGCGAGATCTTAGGCTATATTGTAAAATTACATATGATCCGTGGTGTGCCGGAACGCGAGACACAATATGTTATATTTTCTGTTCTGTCTCAAATCGACAGCCAAGTGTTTAATAAAATTTATTTATTTATTTTTATTTATTAACGCTTCATACACAAAGTGCACACAAGGTGGACTTAATGCCGCAGGCATTTTCTCCCAGTCTGACCTTTGGGTGATGCAGAGAAGAGTGAATGGTAGGAGCAAGAAGCAAGCAACGATTTATTTGAGAAAATAGAAGATTATACTAACATATTTCAGATAAATAAATATAATTTAAGATGATTTAAATAAACAAAATCCTGTTTTATCTTTCCAGGGCCGTATAAAGAGCACTGCGCTAGGACTGAGGTAGAGGAGGCGGATTTCCCTCCCAACTCCCCTCTGACAACTGCTGTTAATGCCATGAGGAGCCAAGGGTATAAGGTAGGGAATTTTGTAGACATTTTTATTGTTAAAGTAAATCAAAACATCGCCCGCTTCTCATGCATGAGGGTCGAGTTCGAAACTTGACAAGTACCAATGTGACTTTTTCCGAGTTATATGTACTTTCAATGATTATCTAGACACCACTGACAAACGGTGAAGGAAAACATCGTGAGGAAACCTGGGCTTATGATTTGTAATTATAAGTTTGAAATCGCCAACCCGCATTGAGCAAGCGTGGTGATTTTTGCACAAACCTCCGTGTAAGACCTTTGCTTAACTGTGAGCATATAATATAATATGTGCCACGGTAGTTATAACATAAATATAAATATTTTACTTTATTAACTGCCTCGTTGGCCGAGAGGTCGCAAGTGCGGCTACCAGACCTGGGGTCTCGGGTTCGATTCCCGGGCCGGGCAACGTACTGGGTTTAAAAAAACTAAGTAGTAGCACGTAGTCTGGAATTGTGTTCGGTATATGGCAATAGGCTCACCCCCTATTACATGGGACAACAACATCACATAACATCACGCCTTTTATCCTCGAAGGGGTAGGCAGAGGTGCACATTATATCACTGTACAATGTAACACCCACTTTTCACTATTTATGTTATGAGTCAGAGCTACCTACATGGGACTCATAACATAAATTGGGTGTTACATTGTACAGTGGCATTAAGTGCCGTGATGTGCACCTCTGCCTACCCGGTCGGGGATAAAAGGCGTGATGTGATGATGATGATGTTATGTTTGCTTTATTAAATTATTTTTTTCTCCACAGCTTCACACTGGAACCTGGCTGGTCGACGGCAACCCTCAGATCATACTCTTCGACATCGGCTCCGGCGCCTGGCAACTGGACGGGTACAAACAGGAGTTGTGGAATACTTGCGGTATCGGCATACCCCACCTGGACGTCGAAGCTAATGACTCTGTTATACTAGGGTTCATGGTCGCGCAGTTCATTGGCGAGGTAACTAAAGATATTAATTTATAGAATTTTATAATGAGTGAAGTTAGTGAAGTGATTGAGTGAGAGAAGTGATTGAGCGAGTGAAGTGATTGAGTGAGTGAAGTGAGTGAGTAAGTAAGTGAGGGAGTGAGTGAGGGATTAGGGAGGAAACGTGTGAAGGAAATGAGTATGTAAAGTGAGTGAGGGAAATGAGTGAGTGCAGTGACTGAGTAAGTCATTAAGTGAAGTGAGTGAAAGAAAATTATTCGATGCCATCTCGTGGCAAAGTTTGGAATTTTCGGATGCTTTATCCCTAAGTTAAATCTTGCCATTTTAGTTAAATCTTGCCAAAGAGTGTTTAAAATTCATCTTAAGAATAATTTCTCGCATAATTATTACAATTTAATTAATTTATTTTTCTTTAACAGTTCCGTAAAGCAGCGGAGGGTTACAGCGACACCCCGCCCCGTGTAGTCGCCCACTTCCACGAGTGGCAGGCAGGCGTCGGGCTTATTATGCTCAGGTGAGCTTTAAACAATGAAATCATCATCATCATCTTCAACAGCCGGAAGACGTCCACTGCTGGACAAAGGCCTCCCCCTTAGCCCTCCACGTCGAACGACAACTCGCCACCCGCATCCACTGGCTCCCCGCAACTCTGGCGATGTCGTCGGTCCACCTAGTGGGAGGCCTGCCCACGCTTCGTCTTCCGGTCCGTGGTCTGCACTCAAGGACTTTCCTGGCCCATCTGCCGTCAGTCCTTCGAGCGACGTGGCCTGCCGATTGCCACTTTAGTCTGCAGATTTTGCGAGCTATGTCGGTAACTCTTGCTCTTTGGCGAATTTCCATATTTCGGATTTTGTCGCGCAAAGACCAAACAATGAAATCCATATATTAAAAAAAAATACAGTCGTATTGATAACCTCCTCCTCGGTTGTAAATGAAACTCGTTTCCCGTTGTCACGCCATAACTTAAGAACGGCTAGACCGATTTGGCTGATCTTTTTTTGTTGTATTTATTATTGTCAGGATAAGGTTCTTACGACAGAAATCGAAACGGGAAACAACAGGATTGCGCGTACGAAGTCGCGGGCAGAAGCTAATATTACATAATTCCTGTCAGTTTTCAAAGAAAATAGTCTGAGGTTTTACTAGTTATTTAGTCTTATTGCCTTTTTGCTCATCATGCTTACTTCAGGCAGAAATTCAAAAGCGCCACTTACTACGATACTTACATTTCTTGTTTAGATTAAAACTATATTAATCAAGTTATATTCCTTTAGAATTTCATCCCTATAACCACGACATTTGTTTATAAAGTACAAAATTTAAATAAAATAAGCTAATACTCGTAACTCATCGAGGATGCTCGACTAAATTCAAGCTCTGATCGGGGCTCATAATCTTACCTTTGGTCGTCGCTCCGCTAAAGTGACTCATTGCGTCCTCGAACGATTTTCGTTCCCCGTATATTTAAACTGTCAAACACCGCGAGGACACCGGTGACCGCAACCTATTGTTCTTTAATTGTGTCTATAATGACGGTACTCATAGGGTTAAATCAATTTGGTATGTCTCATAATAGTGATAATAAAATAATTAATGTTTTTTTGTACAGAGCTCGACACGTGGACGTAGCTACAGTGTTCACAACGCACGCTACCCTCCTCGGACGATATTTATGTGCTGGCAACACTGACTTCTACAATAATCTTGATAAGGTAACACTCAAATTGTCAATCCATACTAATATTAAAAATTTGTACCGGAAAAGGGTGAATAGGGATCGAGAGGTGAATAGGGACAAAAGAGGGGTGAATAGATATAAGGAAATTCTTCATAGTATAAACCCGTTTAGAGAACAGAGAGTATAGTTCCCTAAGATCGGAAAAGGAGGATCCTCCGACCAGGCGAGGTGATCGTGCCTGGCGGGCTTTCTGCCCAACAGTTGCTCGTTGGGAATTTCTATCCGTGTTAAATCGAATGTAAACTTCGCATGTGCGATGTAGGATTTTATGACGTCATCCGTTGACTTGTGACATGTGTCGCCACACCCTGTTCACCCCATTTTACCGTTATCTTTGTTGTTCTTTCCTGCCTTTGCTGCGGAAACTGCTGAATAGATTTGAATGCAATTCAGTACAATAGATTAGATAGGTAGGTTATAGTCTGGAATAACATGGGGTAAATTTTATACGGGCCCGTGGGCGAAGGTTACGAATCAAATGATGGTAACCAATCAGCGCCATCCGTAGACATCGGCGGACTTAAGAGGCTCTGGCACGGTCCGGCACGGCTCCGGCAAGGCGTTGTTTCGAATTTGCCTACCGCTAGCCGCTAGCGTGCTTACGGAGCCGCGGAGGGTTTAACGGGTTGCCGGGGCTCCGGTTCGAAGTGCAGGAGTAGGAATGGGATGGTTTTTAGTCAGTAAGAGTCTGATACTCCCTCTCGCCTCACCCGGGCAGGAAAAGCCATTGGATGATCCCACCCCCCATAAAAAAGCCGTCAGCATGCTTACGGCGCCTTGCCCGTATGCTGTAAGCTGTAAGCGTACTGGCCGCGAGGTGGAAGATTTTTGTTACTATAAGTATAATAATATGTTTATATAATAACTATCGTGTGAGACATACTAAATTAACTAAAAATCGTGGGTTGCGCAGTCTACTATCGCCGCGACCGCGCATGCTGCTCATGAGGAGGAACCCCTCTGTGGTTCAAAACTAGTAGAGCTTTTTTCAGTATATTTACGTGAGTAATCCGCGATTTTTAGTTAACCACAATTATAGTCAACAATACCTACCCACGATGCGACGTTGTTTCGCTCGCGCCTAGCGGGCGGCTCGTCGTCGGCCCGCTGCCGGCGCGTTGCCGGTACGCTGGCGGCTCGATGGCGGCGTGCAATGCGCGGGCATCTCGACTAAAACTTAATAGGACCGCGTGGCCACCCGCCATTGGCTTTTTATATTGACGTTATGAAATATGTCATACGCCATACGATTTAAAGTTCATATTTAAATGACAACTTAATTGCTGCTTTGGAGCTGTGCTTGTTTGGTTTGCGATGTACAATTACATTTATAAGTGTGTTGCCGGCCTTTTAGGGGTTGGAGATTGGGATTCTTATTTTTTTTAATGAAATAATAATTCTAATAAGCAGTTTACTGAAATAAATTTATTATTTGTCCAGTTCTCAGTAGACGAGGAGGCAGGCAAGCGTCAGATCTACCACCGCTACTGCATGGAGCGCGCCGCTGCACATATGACGCATATATTCACCACCGTGTCTGACATTACTGGTGAGTACACATCATTATGATCACTATATCCATAGTGTCTGCTACTGTAAGGAATGGGGTTTTGCATAATCACCAAGTCTGGCATAATCCCTGTATTTGGCACGGCACCACGGTTGTTAACCTGCGTTTGGCATAAATGATAATTGGCACATAATCGCCTTTTTTGGCGTAAATCTCCACGTTTGGCATAATCCCCATACCTCTTTGACACTCTATAAAAAGTCGAATGAGTTTCGTACATTGTCTGTCAGTCAGTATCGTAAGAGTTTTATATATGTATTTTTTTAAACATTGCACCACACTATGATTTCCTCCTGTGTCGTGGGTGCGTTTACAACCATACAAGTTCACATACACGTACACACACACGGAACAACAATCTGTGGATCACACAAAGAGTTGCTCCGTGCGGGAATAGAAACCGCGACACGTTGCCCAGCCACCACGCGAACCGCGCAGTCATCCTTACTAATATTATAAATCGGAAAGTGAGTTTGTTTGTTTGTTTGTTTGTACCGCTTCCACGCCGTAACTACTAAACCGATTGCTTTGAATTTTTGCAAACGTAAAGTTAGAAGTCCTGATTAAATAATAGAGTAATATTTATCCCGGAAAAATTTGATATGCCCTAGGGAAAATAAAAGTATTGGTATAGATGGCGCTGTGTGTATTGGTATATATGTCACAGGCTACTTTTTTCTTTTTGTGACGCGAGCGAAGCCGCGGGTAAAAGCTAGTATAAAATAATAATAATAAAAAAATATCTTTTTCAGGCTACGAAGCTGAACATCTACTGAAACGTAAAGCTGACATAATAACACCGAACGGATTGAATGTGAAGAAATTTTCAGCGCTTCATGAGTTTCAGAACTTACACGCACTCGCCAAAGACAAAATCAATGAATTCGCCAGAGGACACTTTTATGGGTAAGTCCTACTGATATAAAGACGAATCACTACATAATATTCAATTACTACACTTCAATTACACTACATAATATTCAAACCTTCAAGAAAAGAGCGTACTCCTTTTAAAAAGCCCGGCAACGCACCTGTGACTCCTCTGGTGTTGCGGGTGTTCATGGGCGGCGCTGATCTGGACAATACTGGACAATACTCAAATGTAGTCAGTAGCTAATTTCCAATAGTAGGTATTTTAATACAAAATTTAACACTTTAATTCTAATGTAGACAATCTAGTTTCCTTATGGCATCGAGCATTTCTTTATTGAAACAAAGAGTTTCCTTTTCTTGTATAGAAGCACTAATTCTATGGATTGTCAGTATGCATATGTGAGCACCATGTTGGACTTTAAGTTAAATTTTATTTATTTATTTTTTTTTTAATTTTTGTAAGTTATTAGTATAATGCGTCAAGCGTGTCTTTGCATTGTTCTTACATATGCGTACAGTATTGAAATATGTATCAGAGACATTGTAGAACATACTTTTTTTAAAAAGAGTAACGAATGGAGTTTCTTGCTCGTTCTTCTCCATTCGAATCTACTTTTTGGAATGAGCACCTAGCTTCACCTAGTTTCACTGACGGACTGACTGACAGACTATTATTTATTTTGTATTTGTTGACGTTTCAAAAGCACCAAACTATGGTTTAATTGAAATAAATGCTTTGACTTTGACTTTGACTTTGATCACTTACCATCAGGTGATCCGTCTGCTCGTTTGCCTCCTAGCTTCACCTAGTTTCACTAACGGACTGACTGACAGACTATTATTTATTTTGTATTTGTTGACGTTTCAAAAGTACCAAACTATGGTTTAATTGAAATAAATGCTTTGACTTTGATTTTGACTATTCCATAAAAAAACATATAAAACAAAGTCACTATCCGCCGTCTGTCTGTCCCTATGTATGCTTAGATATTTAAAACAACGCAACGGATTTTGATGCGGTTTTTTTAATAGATAGAGTGAGTCTTAAGGAAGGTTTATATGTATAATATATGCATATTGCACCCGTACGAAGCCGGGGCGGGTCGCTAGTAAAATATAACACGAATGGACCAGCTCGACCGGAGTGATACCACAGTCGAGCAGAAGACCATAGTGAAACAACGCATGCGTTGTATTTCGTCGTGTGAGTGAGGGTACCGGAGGCCCAATTACTCTCCACTTTCCCAATCTCCCCAATTCCTGAATCCCCAACGATCCTCAAACTCCTAATTCCCAAAAGGCCGGTAACGCACTTGTAACGCCTCTGGTGTTTCAGGTCTCCATGGGCGACGCCGATTGAAAGAAAGAAAGAGAAATAAATTATTTGGCCATTGGCACATGAAAACAAGGATCGTTAAAATAGAAATAAAAAAATACAGATACCTAAATAAAAACAAAACATTAATAACAGACTTTAATAAGAGAGAACTAAAAACGAGATATAAAAATAATAATAAAGTGAGCGTGCCCAGGCCAGGCCAGGATTGCTTACCATCAGGTGATCCGTCACCTCGTTTACCGGCTTATCTCATAAAAAATATAATACAGTACCTACTGTGCAAGAAAGAAAGAAAGATTGTTTATTTGTAAAACATGCGTATATAAATCGAGTAATCAGACATGCAAGATGTTAAATAATATGTTGTGCGTCCATGTTTCCATTGTCCATGAAATAAAAAGGCGTTTTATTTTATTTATTTATTTTTGTCCACAGTCATTTCAACTTCGATTTAGATAAGACGTTGTACTTCTTCATCGCTGGCCGCTATGAGTTCGGTAACAAAGGAGCTGATATCTTCATTGAAGCTTTGGCTAGACTTAACCATTACTTAAAGGTAAGTTTTTTTACTGTAAATTTTTTATGTTATTTTATTACATAACATAACGTCATGCCTTTTATCCGCGAAGGGATAGGCTTAGGTGTACATTATGCCACTTAATGCAACTGTACAATGTAACACACACTTTTCACTATTTATGTTATGAGTCCCATGTAATAGGGGGTGAGCCTATTGCCATATACCGGGCACAATTTCAGACTGCGTTCTACTACTGAGAATTTTTTATAACCCGATATTACTTTGCTCGACCCGGCAATCGCACTTGCGACCACTCGGCCAAAGAGGCAGTCAGTTTTTATTTTATTTCAACAGGTTAACTGCGTATTGTTATTATTATTTGCTACTAGTTTCTAGTCATATGATTATGACTTAGACTTATGGGTCCCGGTTTAACTCGAAACTAGTCGAGCATTCCTCGAATTTAAACGACTTCAAAAAAATAAGGTTCTCTGTGTGTATTCGATCTTCGATCTTGCGATTGGCTAGACTGATTTTGATACACTTTTCAAAAAAGGTTTTTTCTCTTAGAAGAAAGTTTTAGTATAGTAATTAACTGACTTCAAAAAAGAGGAGGTTGAACTTGAAGTCAATATTTGAGACGTAGTTTATCAAAAATAAAAAAGAATTCCATCAGTAATTTCATTGCATCTTAGTGTGTGAAACCTGGTTAAGTGAGACATCAAGGGACCTGCAATGTCGTTTCACTTATAGAGGTATTCCACTTACCCAGTGTCTCAGATATACAGGTATAAATAAATATCTGTCTCATTTACAGAGGGTTCCATTAATAGAGGTGGACTTGGAATTACGTGTGGAATTTGTGGGTAGAATAAGAATGAGTAAACAAACAATGTTATCTCAGTTACAGAGGTTTATGCATAGAAAATTTACTCGCTGTCTCAGTTATAGAGGTAACTATGATGATAAATCGAAAGAACAAATCCCAGATATAGAGGTTTACCTCGTCCCATTAACAGAGGTAATTCAGTGCCAAAGTGTTGGGACCTCAGCATGAGTTCCAGTTATAGAGGTTTCTCATTAATCCAGGTCCGACTTAACCAAGTTTCACTGTATAATTTTCTATTTCACAGTCATCAGGATCAGACATGACAGTAGTGGCGTTCATGATCTTCCCAGCGAAGACGAATAACTTCAATGTGGAGAGTCTGCGAGGGCATGCCGTCACCAAGGCACTGAGGGACACCATCAATGACATACAACAGAAGATCGGGAAGCGAATGTACGATATATGTTTGAGGTAAGATCTCCCAAAACTATATCAAGCTTATTAATTACTAGTTTTTACCCGCGGCTTCGCTCGCGTCACAAAAGGATAAAAAGTAGCCTATGTGGCATATACCAATACATACAGCGCCATCTATACCAATACTTTTGTTTTCCCTCGGGAATATCAACTTTTTCCGGGATAAAACGTACCCTATTATTTAATCCGGATTTCTAACTTTACGTCTGCAAAAATTCAAAGCAATCGGTTTAGTAGTTACGGCGTGAAAGCGGAACACACAAACAAACTCACTTTTCGATTTATAATATTAGTAAGGATTACGTTTTCGGCTTCGTCACGTAACTGTTGTACTCAGAACTCGACTAGTTTTAAGCCATGCTAGAGGCTTATATCCATGAGCAGGATTCATTGGCCCGCGCCGACTGTCGCTCCTGCGTGCTGCAGTCAGTCGCGGTGCGGGCGGCGCCCCCTGCTGGGTGCCGGCTGTGGCGCGCTGTGTCGCGCTGTGTCGCGCTGTGCTCCATCCTCGGTGGCGCGACACAGCTGGCACGCTGCACTCGTTGGCCGGTCGCCGCGTACATGTTGACTTCGAATCTGGGTCGACGCAAAACCGCACATACCGCGCTCACTGTCACACTCCAGACCCGCAGCATTGTAGTCTGACTCAGATTGCATTCAGTTACCCACGTAACTGTTTGACGAGCAACTCGACTAGTTTCAAGTCATGCTAGGTGTACGAGTTGTAGTAATTAACACCGTACATTGATTTGTAGTGAAGATGAAGTTGATGTAGTGTAAAGAAACAAGTTTCACCCCGTTGCACTAAGTAGTTAGTTTATTGTAAATTACAATATAAATGAAAGATGATACATGTCGTCGTGGCCCGGAGGTTTAAGACGCCCACTTCTCATGCATGAGGGTGCGGGTTCGAAACCTACCAACGGCAAGTACCCATGTGACTTTTTCCGAGTTATATGTACTTTCTAAGATTATTCAGACACCACTGACAAACGGTGAAGGAAAAACATCGTGAGGAAACCTGAACTTATAATTTCTAATTATAAGTTTGAAATCGCCAACCCGCATTGAGCAAGCGTGGTGATTAATGCTTTAACCTTCTCCGTGTGAGAAGAGGCTTTGCTCAGCAGTAGGCATTTATAGGCTGTTGATGATGATGATGATAAATGAAAGGCGATTATTTATCTCAGTTGTTGATAGCTACCAAGTTATAAGTTGACTATATATTAATTCGTTAACCTCGTTGTTTTATTACGCTAAATTGTAAGCGCGTCGTTATCCTAAAGTAGGTTGCCGCTTGAACAGAAAAATTACGGTGCGGTAGTGAAACCGTACACTAGGGGTTCATATTCATCCCGAGCGTATGGCGCGTAGCGTTCCGCGCCTCAAAGAGCCATCAGACCACCACAGATGGGGCCCAAAAGGGCCGATGCCGATTCGGAGTCGCGGAGAACCTAACGGGTTACCGGGGCTCCGGCTCGATGTGCAGGAGAAGGAACGGGGTGGTTTTTAGTCAGTAAGAGTCTGACACTCCCTTCCGCCTCACCCTGGCGGGAGCAGTCATTCGATGATTTTCCCCCCTTAAAAAAAAGGGGTTCATATTCATCAGTAGCAAGTTGGCGCAATAAATAAATAGATGGCGTGCTTACCCACTAATGAAACATATATATTTCAGCGGCCACCTCCCCGACGCGTCGGACCTGCTCCACAAGGATGACACGGTGCGCCTCAAGCGTTGTATATACAGCTTGCAACGAGATGGCCTGCCTCCCATCACTACGCATAATGTTGTAAGTACATAGACATAACATCTCGCCTTTAATCCGCGAAGGGGTAGGCAGTGGTGCACATTACGGCACTTAATACCACTGTACAATTTAACACTCATTTTTCACTATCTATTTTATAAGTCCCATGTAATAAGGGGTAACATAAACGTAACTTTGCGCATAACTTGCGCGTTGTCACCGTATATGTCATCGACATCGGCCTGCCTCGTTGCCCCAGAAGTGGCCAGTGCGACTGCCGGGCAAGGGGTCTCGGCTTCAATTCTCGGGTCGGGTAAAGTATTACTGGATTTAAAAAAATCTCAGTAGTAGCACGGAGTCTGGAATTGTGCCCGGTATATGGCAATAGGCTCACTTCCTATTACATGGGACTGATAACAATATAGTTGTGAATAATTTTTATTTGTTTTGTTCAGGTGGACGACTGGAGCGATCCTGTGTTAAACTCCATCAGAAGATGTGAGCTCTTCAACACGGTTAACGATAAAGTTAAGGTAAGACAAACAAACATACATTATATATATCATGTTTTTGCACGGTTGGTGCGGAGCAATATTTTGTGTGATCCACAAATTGTTTCAGCTCTGGGTGTCATGTGTATGTGAACTTGTATGTTTGTAAACGTACCCACGACACAGGAGAAAGTCCTAGTGTGGGGCAATTTTCATAAATACATTTCCCAAATACGTCAAATATTAGATCTTTACCGAAATATGTAATCAAATCTAAGAATCTAATTTACACATAATTCTAACTGTTGTATCATTATGAAACTGTTCAATAGGGTAGATGACTAATTTTTACTTTAATGTCCGTCTGGTAGATTATTTAAAAACATTAGACACGTATTTTTTATTTTCTTACAGAAACGAATACTTTCGACGATATATTGATTTGAAATGTCGCGTGACGTCACTTCTATGTACATTTTATACGTAGAAATGACGTTTTAGCGCCCATTCCTAAACTTTGATTCGTTATATCTAAGTATCATTTTATCTTTTTCAGGTTATTTTCCATCCTGAATTTTTGACATCAACGAACCCGTTGTTTGGGCTGGACTATGAAGAATTTGTTAGAGGATGCCATCTTGGAGTGTTCCCATCTTATTACGAACCTTGGGGGTACACCCCGGCTGAGTGCACCGTAATGGGAATACCCAGTATTACCACTAATTTGTCAGGTAAAGTGGACAAATCTTTGTGACTTTTTTTATGGCATTAGCTGGTAAACGAGCAGACGGATCACCTGATGGTAAGCAATCGGCGCCGCCCATGGACACACCAGAGGCGTTACAAGTGCATTACCGGCTTTTTGGGGATTAGGAGTTTGAGAACCTTTGGGGATTCAGGGATTGGGGAGATTGGAGAAAGGGAGGGTAATTGGGCCTCCGGTAACCTCGCTCACACGACGAAACACAACGCAAGCGTTGCTTCACGTCGGTTTTCTGCTCGGCCGTGGTATCACTCCGGTTTAGACGGCCCATTCGTGCTGAAGCATGGCTCTCCCACACTTAAAATTATGAAATTTTTTACTTTTATTTATTTATTTAATTTTTTTTTATATTTGATGGGTCGACGTTTGTCCACTATCTCGCCTGGTGGTGCACGATGATGCGGTCTACGATGGAGCACGTCGTCCTATGAGCAACCTATTCACTCGGGCCTTGAAGACGCCCAGGTTATTCATGACTTTTGTAAGCCGTTTAGTGCTATTGCCAAATTGCGGGCTGTTATAAAACAAGGAACTTAAAAATGTACCCTTTAATTCTTTTTGTCACTTAAGTAGTTTTGTAACGAAAGTTTCAGTTTTTAGGACTTGCTAAAAATTCAAAATAATACAATGGTAAACGTAAGTAAATGATAATTACAGGGTTTTTTCAAAAAAATCTCAGTAGTAGCACGGAGTCTGGAATTGTGCCCGGTATTTGGCAATAGACTCACCCCCTATTACATGGGACTCATAACATAAATAGTCAAAAGTGGGTGTTACATCCGGCCCTACACTTGTGCAAACAGGTAAGGAATGGAATTCCTTGCCGGAATCTGTGTTTCCCAACAAATGTAACGTGGGTGTCTTCAAGTCCCGAGTGAGCAGGTTGCTCATAGGTAGACGTGCTCCATCGTCGGCCACATCATCGCTTACCATCAGCAGGCGAGATGGTGGTCAAACGTCGACCTATATAAAAAAACCACTACTTGACGTCTAAGTAAAAGTCAAAATAATTTATTTCAATTAGACCAGAAAGGCACTTTTGAACGTCAACAACAAAATTTAAAGTGAAGTTAGTTGCTCATTCCAAAGTGTAGATTCCTATGGAGAAGAACGAGCAAGAAACTCCATAGGTTACTCTTTTTCAATCAGGTTCACAATACAATTCTTGGTTACATTGTTTTGTTGTTTAGATTATGCGAGATAAGACAGTCAAAGAGATCGAAAAAAATAACCTTAAAGGACAGTAAAAAATACAGTCAGTCTCTCCCTATCTCCTAACAACTCTTCTAACTGCTCCTAACATCTCTTGCTCCCAGGTTTCGGCTGCTTCATGCAGGAACATATAGCGGACCCGATGTCGTACGGTATATACGTCGTGGACCGCCGATATATATCGCTAGAGGGCTCTGTCCAACAACTTGCGCAGTACATGTTCGATTTTACCAAGTAAGTAAGAATTTTGAGCGTTATTCGTATCGGGTTAAGGTTCAATTTGGTTTGTTTGTGGAGTACAAATGTTAGTTTTTCAGTGTGGGTAATATTTTAATGGAAAAACGTCGCGTTCGATTCTCGCTCGATCAAAGTTTTGACAGTTGGTGTGGTGGCTGGGCAACCGGTTGATGTGCAACGTGTCGCGGGTTCGATTCCCGCACGGAGCAACTTTTTGTGTGATCCACAAATTGTTGTTCCGTGTCTGTGTGTACGTGTATGTGAACTTGTATGTTTGTAAACGTACACACGACACAGGAGGAAATCATAGTGTGGGCCAACGTTTACTTTTTTCATACTTAATGAAAAAAATATATAAAATATACAAAAATTCCTGTCTAGGTCTAAATTGAGATTTGTATGTGAATGTTTAATTGTTTTTAAACTCATCCACGACACAGGCTAAAATCCTATATTGTTATAGTTACATTAAAAAACTGATTTCCGAATCTGGGTGCTTACTCTTGAATCCAATTCCGATCGATCAACATTGGTATTGTGAAATTTCGTACTCTAGAGTTACAACACTAGCGCCCATTGCATCCGTATTGCGTGGATATTGAATGAACTAAATAGTACTGAGTTTGGCTTTATATTCCGTACTCTGAATGCTATTTTAACAGCTACGATAGGGGTTGTATAGTTTTGACATTGAATAATTATTGAGATTTTATTGGATTGAAATAGCATTGACATTGAGATTGGTTTCAAGAGTGAGCACCCAGATCTTTATTTAAAACCCGTCAAAGTTGAGTTTAAATTGTTCCTTCTTTAAATTATATTATTACTTTAGTGATGTATAGTGTGGTAATGCTCAAACATAAGCTTTATTTGTTAAGTGTTAAGGTTGAATTTGATTGTAACATTTATACAATTTATAATATTTCAGACTAACTCGAAGGCAACGTATTATACAGAGAAACAGAACTGAAAGGTTGTCAGATCTACTCGACTGGAGAAATTTGGGCATTGTAAGTATTGACTTAGATTACTAAAAGTCATACACCCAAATACTGAAAGGGTACTCAATTAAGGGGTACTTGAATATCGAGTACTGCCTCATTGGCCGAGTGGTCGCAAGTGCGACTTCCGGGGTGTCGGGTTCGATTCCTGGGTCGGGCAAATTATTACTGGCTTTATAAAAAACCTCAGTGGTAGCACGGATTCTGGAATTGTGTCCGGTATAATGGCAATAGATTCACCCCCTATTACTTGGGACTCATAACATAAATAGTGAAAAAAGGGTGTTACATTGTAGTGGCATAATGTGCACCTCTGCCTACCCCTTCGGGGATAAAAGGCGTGGTGTATGTTATGTTAAATATCGTGCCATCTCTGTCATTTTTGGGCTCGCTGCCATTGCAGCGGTAAGTCCCCTTTTTGAGAAGTGGCTTGAGAGACGCTACGGCGTCCTCACCTACCGCCTGACGCAGGTCCTCACCGGACATGAAAGTTTCGGGAGGTACCTGTATCTGATAGGGCGGGAGGAAATGCCCGGGGATTTTTTTTTAAATGGGAAAAATCATCCAATTACTTCTCCCGCCTGGGTGAGGCGGGAGGGAGTGTCAGACTCTTACTGACTAAAAATCACCCCGTTCCTACTCCTGCACGTCGAGCCGGAGCCCCGGTTACCCGTTAAGTCTTCCGCGGTTCCTAGTACATCAGCTACTTGCCAAAATTATCTTGCAAAATCGGTCCAGCCATTCCAGAGATTAGCAAATACAAACAGACAGACAGACAGAAAAAAAAGTTATTTTGATATGTATATTCATATGCATGTAGTAAAAAGCGTTTATTTTAATACTACCTTTTACCCGCGGCTTCGCTCGCGTCACAAAAGGATAAAAAGTAGCCTATGTGGCATATACCAATACATACAGCACCATCTATACCAATACTTTTGTTTTCCCTCGGGAATATCAAATTTTTCCGGGATAAAAAGTACCCTATTATTTAATCCAGACTTCTAACTTTACGTCTGCAAAAATTCAAAGCAATCGGTTTAGTAGTTACGGCGTGAAAACGGAACAAACAAACAAACAAACTCACTTTCTGATTTATAATATCAGTAAGGATTACAAACAGAGATTCCAATTTTATTTTTCAGTATAGATGTAGTTGTTAACATTGAGTTATTTTCATTACAGTACTACCGGCAGGCGCGCGCTGAGGCCTTAAAGATAGTGTACCCAGATTACGTCGACCATATGGACCAGGAGCTGGGCAAACGATTCAACTACCCAAGACCAATCTCAGAGCCACCCAGCCCTACTCATTCTAGTAAGTTATTTTATATTTTTAATAGTATTTTTTTATGACATAAGCCGGTAAACGAGCAGACGGATCACCTGATGGTAAGCAATCGGCGTCGCTCATGGACACCTGGAACAGCAGAGGCGTTACAAGTGCGTCACCGGCTTTTTAGAGATTAGGTGTTTGAGGATTGTTGAAGATTCAGGGTTTTGAGAGATTGGGGAAGGGGAGGGTAATTGGGTCTCCGGTAACCTCACTCACACGACGAAACACAACGCAAGCGTTGCATCACGTCGGTCTCCTGTGAGGCCGTGGTATCACTCCCGTCGAGCCGGCCCAGCAGTGCCGAAGCATGGCTCTCCCACACTTAAAAAACTTGCGACCACTCGGCCAATGAGGCAGTCAAAGTGCTACTACTGAGAATTAAAAAAACCCAGCAGTACTTTGCCCGACCTGGGAATTGAACTCGGCAGTCACACTTTGCGACTCAGCCAATAAGGCAGTCAAATACCTCGATGTATATGATGATGATATAAATTACATCACCAGTACGGCGCGAAAGAAAATCATCGACTTCAGCTTCCGATGAAGAAACACAAAACGAAGATATAATTGCGAAGAAAAATCAGATAAACATAAGGAAGTCTTTAGAAATACTTAATATATCTGATGATGGTACCGATCCAGCTCTCGAAATCAGTTTCGAAAAGCCGAACTTTGCCGAATCGGAGCACGAACATTACCGAACGCCGAATGAGAATTTTCTCGAACCTTTGAACGAAGCTATGGTTGAACAGATTGATGAACTTATCTCGAAGCTTCAGGACTGTGCCGAAGTACAGAATTAGGTTAGGGTTAGTTTGATATTCGGTTTTTCGTAGTATTCTACACATCGAGCTTTACATAACCAGTATAAACTGAACTGTCGCGGTAGCTCGGAGGTTTAAGACGCCTGCTTCTCATGCATGAGGGTGCGGGTTCGAAACCTACCAACGGCAAGTACCAATGTGACTTTTCCCGAGTTATATGTACTTTCTAATATTATTTAGACACCACTGACAAACGGTGAAGCAAAAACATCGTGAGGAAACCTGAGCGTATAATTTCTAATTATAAGTTTGTAATCGCCAACCCGCATTGAGCAAGCGTGGTGATTATTGCTCTAATCTTCTCCGTGTGAGAAGAGGCTTTGCTCAGCAGTGGGCATTTATAGGCTGTTGATAAATGATAAACTGAACGTTAAATGTGCGGAAAGATGATGCAACGCGACACCAGGATAAACTGGTTTTGTATAGATTGATGTGTGGCTGTGTGTACGATAGGAATAGTTTTTTTTTTGGTAATTTAGAAATGAGCTTGTTGGCTGGGTATAAAAATTCTAAATATAAGTCAGTCAGTTAGATAATGAAAAAAAAATATTAGACACGTATTTTTGTTTATAATAACTATCGTGAGACATACTAAATTAACTAAAAATCGCGGGTTACACACGTGAATGTATTGAGAAAATCTCTACTAGTTTTAATAGTGTTGTATCTTAAAATTTTGCAACACAAAACGTCATCTGTCAATACCAAAGCGCCTTTGAAATAAGTGAAAACTAATCTTATTTCAAGGACGCAACGCCTATAATAGTCTGAATGGTGTTGACAGATGGCGAGTTGGTTGCCAGCTTAAAAATTACAACGAATCCGGGGAAAATGGAAACTATAGCCGCTCTGAATCTTGGTTTATCTCGTTCGGGTTTTTGGTCGCAATTCGGATGGACATTAGAAAGGTTTATTTTTTTTGGTTTTTTTTAGTATGGCAATACTTTGTGACACGTTTTGTTTTTACACTAGGTTTTTTTTTGTTTTTTGACAATGCACGCGTGAGGCACATGTGGTGTTTTATTGGGGTTGGATTTATACCTAATACAACTGTCGAAAATATTGTAGGTATTCGAAAGTAGTAACTATAAATTCGTTGCAAATTATTTAAGATACAAATATATACAAAACGTCAAAATATCAAAATATTTTTGGATTTCTATAGTCTCTTTTAAAAAAGTAATTAGTTTCTCATACGATGTTCTTTTCACTATCATAGAAATTAAATAATATTGTATATACTTAATTGGGTACTTGCCTTAATCAAAAATAAATAATTTCGACTGTTCAATACAATAAAATGTTGAAAAATAACCACACTTTCATTAATTTATTATATGACCAACTTTTTTAGTATTTTTCTAGCAATTTTTTAAAAAATGTACCTTCGCTGTTTGACGTTAAAAAACAAGACGTCACAATATACAAATACGTACAAAATTCAAAGAAAACTGTCGTTTTTGACTGTTAGTAAAAAGTATTGAATTTGACTAGTTGGCAAGTACCCGATTATTATATTAATCTGCCAAACACCGCGAGGACACCGGTGACCGCAACCTATTGTTCTTTAATTGTGTCTATAATGACGGTACTCAATGAGTTAAACGATAATATATTTAAAAAAAAACTTTTTTACAGGAGGTACAACCCCGGCCGCATCAGTCCACGGCTCTGATGATGAAGACGAGGTAGATGAGGAGCAGGAACTAGCAGAATTGAGGATCAGTGATAAATAAGTTATACAATATGGTTTATATAATTATTATATATTATATCTATGTTATATAAAAGGAAATTGTGTTTGATGCGTGATAACAAACTTATACATCGGTAAAAAAGCTGCTAAATGGCACCGTTATATGTCTAATTTGAATAAATCTAGATAATTACCTAAATTTAGGCATTACAAAATACAATCAATTACATTTTGTAACACAATCTTTTGGAATCATACTATATGTAATTCGCTTAAAAGAATTTTCGACATTATATTAAATATAATGTTAATAATAAAATAAATATTTATTTGGGTTGGGTATCATCATATTTAAAAACATGTACAATTGTTAAGCAATAATATAAATTATTATATTATATTATATAAAGTATATTCAGATGTTGCCTATTTAAAAATTACAATATTTTTCTTGCCTTCAATTTTTAATATATTATTATACTTATATTTTATAGTCTCGAACCGAAAGATCATAGTTTATATTTTTATACTTAATATCATACGCTCGAATACTAAAATGCTACTGAATTTTAATTCGTGCTTAAGCATAATAGGGTAGATGTGTAATTTTTATTCCGTCTGGTAGATTATTTTTAAATCATTAGACACGTATTTTTTATTTTCTAACAGAAACGAATACTTTCGACGATATATTGATTTGAAATGTCGCGTGACGTCACTTCTATTTGCATTTTATACGTAGAAATGACGTTTTAGCCCCCACTCCTAAACTTAGATTCGTTTTATCTAAGTATTGTTTTATTATACGACAAAAAAATACGTGTCTAATATTTTTTCATTACCTAACTGACGGACTAATTACATTTTTAATTTTCATACCCTGTCATCATACCAATTCTGTCACTACAATTTCTTTGTATATGACAGAGATGACACGATATGTAAGTACAATTTAAAATTGAGTAGCCCTTCAGTATTCGGGCGACAGTGATTCTTGTTATAGATTTTTTAAATATATTTTTTATGAATTATCTGTCTCGATATATTATTATGAAATACAGATTTTACAAAAACTCTGAAGTTATTTAAGTTTTAGGACTTTAACATTCAGCAAACTTTAATTCATGTTCTGATTCTATTCCTAAATACAATAGGGATGATGACGGGGTATCAAAATTAAAAATCTAATTAATCCGTCAGTTAGGTAATGAAAAAATATTAGACACGTATTTTTTTATTTTGTTATATAATAAAATGATACTTAGATATAACGAATGAAAGTATAGGTGTGGAGCTAAAACGTTATTTCTACGTATAAAATGTACATAGAAGTGACGTCACGCGACATTTTAAATCAATATATCGTCGAAAGTATTGGTTTCAGTGAGAAAATAAAAAATACGTGTGTAATGTTTTAACATAATTTACCAGACGGACATTAAAATAAAAATTACTCATCTATCCTATTATGACCATGTTGACCTACCACCCCTAAGCTAAATTTCAACTAAAAGTTATTCAGAGTTATGTATCCAGTGTTGGGTAAATGGAAATCTAACCACTGATTACTTACTACGACTACTTAATGTAGTCATGATTACAGATTACATTAAATAATCGTGAAAAGTTGTTAAACATTTTGATTACTAACTAATAATTAATAATAATAATAATAAATTTATTTATTATCTCTCTACACAAAGGATAATTTACAGAAATAAGATACAATAATAATTGTAGTTATATTACGGTTACTTATCATATGTACACATTTAAAATAATATTCCGTTTTATAAAAAAGCTAAAGCCCGTCACAGACTAAAATATTATATTTTATGTATACTTTAAGACTAATTTGAACTCCTTGTATTCAAATTATTCATGCAAATAAATAAGGGTATGTGAACCCTTTGAGTACCATCATTATAGACACAATTAAAGAACAATAGGTGTGTGGACACCGGTGTCCTCGCGGCGTTTGACAGTTTAAACTGAAAATTTTTATGCACGCATATCCCGAAAAAAATCTGGAAGACTAAAAAGTCGAAATCAGTAGTTCATAACTACTAGATTCCTGTAATCAAATTAATAACTACTTCATGAATTAGATTACTGTTAAGTTACAGACAACTACATGTAGTTATAACTACATGTAATCATAACTACACGTACTTGTAATCGTAGTTATTAATCAGATCACACAATAGTAGTTAACCACGCCCTACACTGGATGTAGCACATAAACTGATTCCTTGCTTGTACTGTTAGCTGTCTCTTATAAAACCAAAATGTCGTTCAATACCATCAATCATAGCTAAAGGGTTCCATACACTTAAGATTGGTGAAAATATTTTAATGTATTTAGATTCATTATTAGACGTTGTAGATGGCGCTACAATCAATTTCGGCGTTCAGACACATTACCTATATATAAAATATGTTACTTATAAAGTAATAACACAACTGTCTATCCACTTAAGTTATAAAAGACGTGATGTTTATAGAATTATTTGCTCATTAAAGAAATATTATGTATTTGACATATATAAAGATATATGTAGTTATATTTATATTAAAATATATTAGATTACTAATATTATAAAGTTTGTCTGTATGTTTGTTACTGAATCACGTCGAGACGGCTGAAGGGATTGGTATGAAATTTAGGACAGGGGTAGATTATGGTATTTTTTTTAAGGGGGGAAATCATCGAATGACTTCTCCCACCTGGGTGAGGCGGGAGGGAGTGTCAGACTCTTACTGACTAAACACCACCCCGTTTCTACTCCTGCACTTCGAGCCGGAGCCCCTGTAACCCGTTAAGTTCTCCGCGGCTCCGTATTCTGTATCAGCCCTATTGGGCCCCATCCGTGGTGGTCTGATAGCTCTTTGAGGCGCACGAGGAACGCTCGCCGCCGTACGCTCGGGTCTGGTTCTGGTCGGGCGGCGAGCCACCCATGCTCGCTTATGGTATGGAATAACACATAGGCTTTTTATTCTACGGGAATGCGGGCAAAGCTGTTGGCAGAAGCTAGTATTTTATTTAATATCAGTGTTGCTTGCATAATAAGTTATAAGTTCGTAGTATAGCTACAGGTAATATATTTTTTATTTTTGTAATATTTTCCGAAATATGAAGTAAATCTTTTATTAGTTGAGAAGCATTATAGGGGTTTTAAAATCAGCAGCTCGTGACGGTCCACTGCTGAACTATGAGCCTCCTCTACATAAGGGGGTTTGTCATAATCTCCGCGCTTTTTTATTAAGGGGGGAAAATCATCGAATGACTGCTCTCGCCTGGGTGAGGCGGGAAGGAGTGTCAGACTCTTACTGACTAAAAACCACCCCGTTCCTTCTCCTGCGCTTCGAGCCGGAGCCCCGGTAACCCGTTAGGTTCTCCGCGATTCTCCACGCTTAGATTGGACATCGCAGTGTGAAATATTCAGAGGGCTCAGTACGAATTTGTTTTATTTTTTTGTAATTTTCGCTGTTTTTTTCGTTAAAATAATCACACAAAGTAAATATTTGTTGCGTTTTTGTCATCTTTTTTTCTTGGGATAAGCCAGTAAATGAGCAGACGGATCACCTGTAACGCTAGCGTTGTGTTTCGTCCTGTGTGTTAAGTTACCGGAGGTCCAATAACCCCCCTCCCCAGTCTCCCCAATCCCCGAATCCCCTACAATCCTCAGATTCTCAATTCCCAAAAGGCTGGTGTCCATGGGCGGCGCCTTATAACTATCGCATTCGTAATTTAATAGTATCGAGCGCGTTCGTCTGATTGGTTAGTTCATTGAAGCCGGCCAATCAGAGAGCTGAACGCGGTCTCGTTCGTTCAGAACGCGGACTAAGCCCTTCTGACTCCCCCGGGTGTAGAGGAAAGACGGTGATATGTCCCGAGGCTGAATACCCACCCTTATATGAGTTCTGTACTAATAGAGTATTTATCTTATAAATTAGATTGTGTTACTTTAAGTTAAAGTATGTAAAGACCTATTATATATAAGTTAAAATATATATATTTTAAACACGGTTAATTTTATAATAACTATCGTGAGATATACTAAATTAACTAAAATCGCGGGTTACTCGCGTGAATATACTGAGGAAAGCTCTACTAGTCTCGAATTACATCAGTAGGCTGCGCGACGTCGCCGTGACCGCGCACGCTACTCATGAGGAAGAACCCCTCTGTGGTTCGAAACTAGTACAGTTTTTCTCAGTATATTCACGTGAGTAACCCGCGATTTTTAGTTAAAGGTATATTTTTTTATATTGCATAGTTTAAGAAACTATATTATAATATATTTTATATATATAAATTAAATATGGTTTGTAAAGATGTAGAATAATTTGAAAGTCTAAAAACTAGCTTTGCAATGAATTTTAATTTGTTTTAGTTATCTTGAATTTTTTTTTATAAGTTATTATGAAATGTCATTACAAATATAAAGTTCTTTTAACACATTTTGGCTATTATTATATATTATAGTTATATTATTTTTAAACATTGATTACTTACGTATCATATGTATTTTTTTAAATTAAATATATTGTTGAACAATTTTGAACTTTAAACATATACGTTATTAAGTTTCTTTTTCATTATAAATCTGTAATAGGCCATTTACAGTCAGCCAAGTCATTTAGTATGCAGGTAAGAAAACAAAGATAGATTCAGTACAGAGACAGTAACCATTGGTTGTCTAGAGCCGACTGAGTTACAGAAGACATGGCTTCGTTACACAGCGTACTATTTAGTACTAGCTTCTGCCCGTGACTTCGTACGCGTAATCCCATTTCTTCCCGTCCCTATTAGTGATTTTCGGTAAAAAGTAAAAAAAAATTTTGGTTAAAAAGTATCCTATGTCGGTCTCCTGGCTCTAAGCTACATCCCTACCAATTTTCAGCCAAATCTATTCTGCCATTCTTGAGTTATAAGTGGCGTAACTAACACTACTTTCTTTTATATATATAGATAACAATAGCTACTGGCTCTGTACTCAATCAATCTTTACTTTCTTACTTAAATGACTTGGTTGA